AATGGGCATGAGGAGATATCTCATTGTGGCTTTGATTTTGATTTCCTTAATAATTAGTGATGTTGAACATCTTTTCTTGTGCCTGTTGACCATCTGTATGTCTTCTTTGGAAAAACATCTATTCAGTTTCTCTGCCCATTTTTCAATGAGTTGTAAGAGGCTTTTTATATATTTTGGATATTGACCCCTTATCAGATATATGATGTGCAATATCGTCTTCCATTCGGGAGGTTATCTTTTCTTTATTGATAGTGTACTTTGCTGTGCAGAAGCTTTTTAGTTGATGTAGTCCCATTTGTTTTATTTTCTTTGATTTCCCTAGTCTGAGAAGATCTGTCCAGAAAGATATTGTTAAGATTAAGTCAAACAACATATGACCTATGTTTTCTTCTAGGAATTGTATGGATTCAGGTCTTATATTCAAACCTTTAATCCATTTTGAGTTGATTTTTTGCGTATGGCTTAAAATAATGGTCTACTTTCATTCTTTTGCACACGTCTATTCAGTTTTCTAGCACCATTTATTGAAGAGGCTGTTTCTCCATTGTATGCTCTTCTGGGTTTTAAATTAATTGTCCATATATATGTGAGTTTGTTGTGGGTTTATTTCTGGGCCCTCAATTCTGTTTCATTGATCTTTTTTTTAAACTATGTTATTTTGATTACTATAGCTTTGTAGTGTATTTTGAAATCACAAAGTATGATACATACAGCTGTGTTCTTTTCTCTCAGGATTGCTTTCACCATTCTGGGTTTTTTTTTTTCTGGTTCTGGTTTTAAGATTTTTTTTTGTTGTATATCTGTGAAAAACGTCACTGGGATTTTGATAGGGATTGCATTGAATCTGTAGGTTGCTTCAGGTAATACAGACATTTTAACAATGTTAATCATCAAATCTATGAACATGGAATATCTCTGCATTTCTTTGTTTCTTCAATTTCTTTGAATAGTGTCTTACGATGTTCAGAGTGAAGTTCTTTCACCTCGTTGGCTAATTTAATTTAGAGGTATTTTATTGTTTTGGTGCAGCTGTAAATGTAATTTTTTCTTAATATCTCTTTCTGATAGTTCATTATTAGTATCTAGAAACACTATATTGTATATTGATTTTGTATGCAACTTTATTTGTTTATTATTTATAATAGTCTTCTGGTGGATTCTTTAGATTTTCTATGTATAAAATTATGTCACCTGCAAATAGTCATGATTTTACTTCTCCCTTTCTGATTAAATGTCTCTTCTTTCTTTTTCTTGCATAATTGCTCTGGCTGGGACTTCCAATAGTATGCTGAATAAGAGTGCAAGAGTGGGCATCCTTGTCTTGTTCCTATCTTAGAGGAATAGACTTCAGTTTTTTCACCCTTGATTATGATGTTAGCTGTGGGCTTGTAGTATGTGGCCTTCTATACCCATTCTACTGAGAGTTATTTTTATCATAAATGGGTTTTGAATCTTGTCAAATGCTTTTTCTGCATCTGTTGAGATGATCATATGGGTTTTTTTCCTTCATTTTGTTAATGTGGTGTATCATGCTGATTAATTTGTGGATGTTGAACTATCCTTACATCCCTGGAATAAATGCCACTTGATTATGATGTATGATTATTTCAATGTATGGTTGTATTTGGTTTGCTAATATTTTGTTGAGGATATTTGCATCTATGTTCATCAGAGATATGAGCCTGTAATTTTTAAACTGTACTTGTCTGGTTTGGGTATCACTGTAATTTTGCCCTCATAAAATGAGTTAGGAAGCATTCTCTCCTGTTCAGTTTTTTGGAAGAGTTTAAGAAGGAGAGGTATTAAATGCTCTTAGAATGTTTGGTAGAATTCAACTGTGAAGCTCTTCATTCCTGACTTTCGCTTTTGGGGAGATCTTAGATCACTGTTTTTTAATCTCCTTATCAGTTGCTATTCTGTTTAGATTTTCTATTTCTTTATCATTCAGTCTTGGAAATTTGTATAATTCTAAAAATGTATCTAAATATATATCCAATTTGTTGCATATAACTGTCAATAGTATTCCTTTGTAATTCTTTGTATTTCTGTTGCAACTATTTGTAATTTCTACTTTTTTATTTCTGATTTTATTTATCTGAGCTTTCTCCCATTTTTTTTCTTAGTAAGTCTTGCTAAAGTTTTGTCCATTGTGTTTATCTTTTCAAACAATCAGCTCGTAGTTTTATTGATCCTTTCTATTGTCTTTTTAGTCTCCATTTTCTTTTCATTCTCATCTTTATCATGTCCTTCCTTCTAAGGTGGGTTTTTTTTTTCTAGTTCCTTTAGGTGGAAGTTTAGGTTATTTAATATTTTTCTTCTTTTTTGAGATAGTCTTGTATTAGCTCCCTCTTAGTACTGCTTTTGCTGCATCCCATTGACTTTATGTCATATTTCATTTTCATTCCTCCTCAAGTATTTTTAAAATTTCTTTTTATTTCATCATTGACCTAATAGTTGCTCAGTAGCATGTTGTTTAGTCTCTACATATTTATGATTTTTCCAGCTTTCTTCTTAAATTTGATTTCTGGTTTCTGACCTTTGTGGTCAGAAAAGTTGCTTGATACGATTTCAGTCTTTTAAAATTTACTGAGACTCATTTTGTGTCCTAAAATATGGTCTACCCTTGAAAATGTTCCATGTGCCCTTGAGAAGAACGTGTATTTTGCTGCTTTGGGATTCAATGTTCTGTATCAGTCTATTAAGTTTATCTGGTCTGATATTTTATCTAAGGCTGCTGCTGCTTTGTTGACTTTCTGTCTGGATAAAGTATCCAGTGAGTTAGTGGGGGTGTTAAAGTCCCCTTTTATTGTTTGTGTGCTGTCAATTTCTCCCTGTAAGTCTGTTAATACTTGCTTTATATATTTTGGTGTTGATGTGTATATGTATATGGTGTTGATGTATACACACACACACACATCTCCTTACCTTCTTGATGAATTGTCCCCTTGAGCTTTATAAAATGTCCATCTTTGTCTCTTGTTACCATTTTTGGCTTGAAGTATATTTCGTCTGATATGAGTATAACTACACCTACTTTCTTTTGGCTGCCATTTACTTGGAGTATCATCATCCATCCCATCATTTTCAGCCCACGTTTGTCTTCAGGGTGAGATGAGTCTTTTGCAGTTGGCATAGAGTTGGGTCTTATTTTTTAATCCATCCAGCCACTCTGCATCTTTTGATTGGTGAATTTAACTGATTTACAGTTAGGGTGATTATTGATAAGGACTTAGTATTGCCATTTTACCTTGTTTTCTGGTTTCTCTGTATTTCTATTGTTTCTTATTTCTATCTATCTGCCATTTTAGTTTGGTGATTTTCTATGATGTTATTCGTAGTTTCCTCTTTTTTGTTTCACGTCTCTGCTCTAGATTTACATTTTGTGATCATGATCTTTGTATAAAATGTCTCACAGATAACACAGTCCTTTTTCTGCTGATAGCATCCTATCTTCATTTACATAGATGTGTTTCGTTCTTTTCCTCTTTCCCTTTTATATTTTTTGTTGTTTCAAATTATTCCATTTTATGTTGTGAGTTTGCCACCAAATTGACACTATAGTTATGTTTACTGATTTTCCCCTTTTATGCTATAATTTAGTGTTTAAACTATTCTAATATAGAGTTGCAATTTTCTGTCTATTTATCACCTTACTCAAAGTTTATACTTTTGCTGTTTCATTTCATGTAGAAGAACTCTTGAATGTTTCTTGTAAGGCAGGTCTAGGGGTGATGAACTCCTTCAGCTTTTGTTTGGGAAAGACTATTTCTTCTTCATACCTTAAAGATAACTTTTCTGGATAGAGTGTTCTTGCCTGACAGCTTTTAATTTTCAATATTTTGAGTATGCCATTCTGTTGTCTCTTGGCCCATAGAATTGCTGCTGATAATAGCTGCTGATAGCTTAATGGGGATTCCTTTATGTTACCATCCTATTTTCCCTGACTGCCTTTAAAAATTCTTTGTCACTGAGTTTTGACAGTTTTAATATAATGTGTCTTGGAGAAGGTCTTTTTATGTTGAGTTATTAGGTGTTCTTTTAGCTTCATGGACATATATATCCAGTTCTTTCCCCAGGTTTAGGGTGTTCTCAGTTATTATTTCTTTAAATAAACTTTCTACTCCCTTCTCCCTCTCTTCTCCTTCTGGGATACCAATTATCTTTATGTTGCCCTTCCTAATGAAGTCAGCTAGCTCTTACAGAATTCCTTCATTTTTAAAAGATTTTAGTTCTCTCTCCTCTTCTATGTTTTACTTCTAGATTTATATCTTTGATCTCACTAATTCTGTCTTCCACATCATCTACTCTATTTCTAACACTCTCTATTGCCTTCTTTATCTCACTTACTGAGTTCTTCAGCTCCAGACTTTCTGTTTTGTTCTTTAAGTTCCAGTCTCTTTGGTAAAGTATTCCTTCTATTTATTAATATTACTGCTAAACTCATTAATTATTGCTGAGTTTTCTTGGAGCTCATTGAGTTTTCTCATGATAGCTATTTTGAATTTTCTGAGTTAGATTGAAATAGTCCATGACTTTAATTTTGGTTTCTAAAGGCTTGTCATTTTCTTTTTGTGATGCCAGGTTACCATGATTTTTCATAGTGATTGATAATTGTACCTCTGCAAGGGCATTTGAAGTAGAGAGCACCTTTCTGCTTTAGGAAAAAGGTTTTGTTTGTTTGTTTGTTTTGGGTTTTTACTTTATTCCGACAATTCAACAGGTTAGTAATTAGAGGACTTTCTTTCATTTTTCAGTAAGTGACGGTATAGCATTTGCTTTTGGTTTCTCTTACCTGAGCTGCCTCTGGCTATATTTTGAGAACTAGTACTTTCCACCCTTCACTGCCTCTGCCAGAGGTGCTGCCCAGTGCTGTTCTGGTCACGGTTTGTGCCTCTGGGGTCACCTGTGCCTTGCTTCTGCTAGTGTCACTGCTATTGTTGGCATCGCTGCCTGGGGCTCCAGGATGAGTGGGTGCCCCTGCCAAATCTGGGGTTGGGTTCACAGGCACCACTCTTGTAGGGAGTGGGGCTGGAGTCACATGCCCTGCCTCTGCTGCTACTACTAGGCTCTCTGGGGCTGTGAGCTCAGCTGCTGTGGCTTGGGGGCAGGACTGCGGGCATTTCCTCAGCTCTTCTCCAGGCTTTACCTCCTTGGCGTGTCCCAGTCCACCTACCTTTAGATACACAGATGTGTGGAACTCTCTGCCTTCCTGGTATGTTGGGCAGAGGAACTTTCATTGAGTTGTGGCTATTTTACTGGTTGTAGACTGAACGGGAGAGACAAAAGGAGGGTTTAGTGACACCATCATACTGATATTGCTTTTGGTCTAACATCTTTTGTAGGCACTTCAGGGCTGAAAAAAAATATATGCACCTGATAGAGAAATGAGATATATTTTTAATATTAGATATAATTTTTTATTTCTGTAATAGCTGTTATCTTGGCTTTTGGTTAAACTTAATTTTGAAAACTTTCTTTCAAATGAAGCCACCTACTCTAGTATTTTTTTTTAATGATTTAAAAATTGATGCCATTCTGGTTATGAACGGTGAATCCTACACCCCGAGTTCCCTGTTACCTGCTTCAGGCAATTCCTGAGGAGCCTCCCAGGCAAAGCTACTATCTGAGAAGACAGAATAAATGATGTTAGTTTAGAGTAGCGTTTCTATAGAGAGAAGTTTGGTAAATATTTCATTTATTTATGATCTAGCTCTACTAGCTTGAACTATTCTGACTCTGCCAGATAACACTGTATGAGGTAGTAGAAAGCTAAAAAAATATGGGTTGCATTTAGACAGTTAAAAAACCAAATATTTCTAACATAAAGACTCAGAGTATGTTCTATTTTATAGTAGAGTTATAATGTAAAAATATTTCTAAATCTGCACACAGATTCTTTCTTCATAGTGTTTAAATTTGTGATGGTAATAAAAGAAAGTAGTTTAAGCCCTAAAATATTAACTTGTTTGCAATATTATTAGATGCAGATAGTAAAACTAGGAGTTACCCTTTTTAAAGATTACCCAGTACAAAGTTCTGTGCTAAACACTTACATATGTTTTTTAATACAATCTTAACCTCAATAATATGAGATAGATATAAATGACCATTCACCATTGACCATTCCCACTTTATAAATACGAACATTAAGTTTGGAAAAATAAAATAAAAAACAAGTAATATATGGCCAAATCAGAATGTGGCTGTAAATGTAAGAGCTGGCACTCTTAACCCTATGCTTCTATCTCCCCATAAAATTTAAAAGTACAGCTTTTCTCCTTTTTTCAGAGACAACATTTTTTAATGTAAAGAAATCAGTCACCTTCCTTATTTTTGTACTGCATGTTTTCATTGGGATTTTAGCATGAAACAGATTGTACACTTAAATTAGGATAATTCAAAGAGAGCTTAAAAAGGGGTCTATTTCTAACATGTGAGCAGAATGTGGGGAAACTTTAGGGATAGTGCAGGATCACAGAGCTAACTACAGCAGCTGTGGTTGCCACTCTGAGACCTGAAAAGATGTAGTTCTTGGTTACCTAAACCCAGCAGGAGATACTGATAGAAACTGGGTCAGCATGAGAGCATCTGTGACTTTCAGTCCAGAAACACAACCATCTTGAAGCAAGAGGGAGCCAGGAACTGATTAACCATCCTGACTTCATGTTCAGGCTTCCTCTGGGCTAAATACAAACTGAAGCCAGCAGACAAAATAGTCCAAAGATGGAGTCTAATACAGAGGGGAGGAGAAAAGTTCTGCAGGGACAGACAGAGGTACTGTCTGCATACTCATGCAACACAAATAAAAATAATTCTTACATAGTCCCTTCTAATTTTGGCTATGTAATATTACAATTTTTAAGTACATCAAAATAAATTTTAAATTCTACTTTTCTCAATTAGCACTTTAAAGTTTCAATATTTCTTAGTTACTTTTGTTTATTTTATTCCAAGAAAAATTGTATGTGTAAATAGAGCTGCCTTTATTATAGAAATCATTATTGAGAAAACAACTTAAATTTAACATTTAATCGATCAAGCAAAATTCATCTAATTTACTTAGTCATAAGCCAAATGGCAATGAAATGTTTAGCAAAAAGCTTTTAACTGTGCTAGCAATGTTTGTGGTATAAAAAAAGAGTTAACAAAACATATTTTAATTATTCACATTTTAAGAGCTTTAGCATAGAGGTCAACACTAATGGCTAAAAGAGGTATATACACAATCTTAATGTTATATCATGCCAATAACAAAAACATGCAAAACTTACTTAGTGATTACTGTATACAGGATGCTCTGCTAAAGCCTCTTCCCTTCATCATCTCAGTGCTTCACCTGAAGTCCTATGAGATACATTGTGGTATTAGCCTTATTTTAAAATAAGGAAATGGAGAATTAAAGAGACTTAGTAATTTGATCACATATAACATTTTCCATTCATTCATATCTTCATTATTCAAAATATATCTTTTGTAGTATTAAGCATAGGCAGCCTGAAGGCAAGGACCATATCTTCCGTCTCTTCACTCCCTTCAGGCTGCAGTGCTGAGTATCTTGGAATGAATGTCATTTTCCATCAAGGTATGACCCATGCTTTTCAGGGGCAAAGAACTGGGTTATATCCAAAAGTGCAGGATCTTTTCAGCATCTGGAAAAGCCTGGCATGCTTACTTGAGAGATTTCTTGTGGTTTCTGGAGTAGCTCAGCTTTCGTCACCTGCTGGACATTCACTGAAGGATCTGAGGTAAAATTTTCACAAGATTTAATTTTGAGGCTTGTCCGAAGTCTCCTGATGGGAGTTCTTCTCCATGTGAACAGGTCTAAGGTCTCAGGAGGCAGTGCTTCTTTTTCTGGCATCAATTTATTTGATCACAGGCCTCTAGTTAACTTGCTTTAGGGGAAATGAAATGGGACCAAAACCCACAGACCCTATTGCAAGGACAGATTGAAAGAGTCCTTCAGTCCATCCCTGAGTGTGTGAGCTGGTTTCTGTTGTGAGTTCCTTCAACAGGACGTTCAGTTGTAGAATAGCTACCATTTTAGAACACAGGACAGACTGCCAGAGAACCCCTTCCTTTCACGTGCTCCTAATCAGCACCCTAGGTAATGGTAAGAACCTCCAGGAAGGGGAGCTGGCCCCAGTTCTCTTACAGACTTTCAAGAAGTTAACATGTGGAAAGAACATCACTGGAATAAGCACTGTCGTTTAAGATGAAGGTCACTGCTTAGAATCAAACAGGTGGACCGGGATACAGTCAGCGTGGAATTAATTCAACCCTTGTTCCAAAATTGCTAAACTCCAAGTGGCCAAAAGTGAAGGGGAAAAAGAGCTAACACTTTTCTAGTATTTCTGTTGGGCAACACTTTGTCTAAGCACTGAAGAGTTTGTTAATTTACTTCATTTTCAAAGCATGGAGCTGGGTATTACCAGTTTCTTCTCTTAACAAATGAGGAAGCTGAACACAAAGACACAAAGAGATTAAAACATGTGCCCAAGAAAACACAACAAATAAGTAATGGGATTGGGTGGGATTCAGACTCATGAAGTCTAGCATCTCAGTCTGTGCTTTTACCACAGTGCTATATTACTTCTCAAATACACTTACCTACAGATAGGACCTCTGGAGTCCCAGTGAAGAAATATGCTTTGGTGTGTCCTTTCTTAGAAGACTCACCCGACCATTTGGAGGCAATTTCTGAGGAAGATCTTCTGGTGTATAAATTATCCAGAGGGTAATTTACCTAGAGAAATCACAAAATGACGAACGGTCAAATCCCAAGTTTTATTTTTAAAATTGAATTAAAATGCCTTCTTTAAAATTTAAGAACTCTTGCATAAATTTTCACCGATCCAGTTGCTGGGGACCTGTGTCGTCATTTGATTGATGGCACTCATTTGGTGTTCAGTAGCTACTGCCCCTTTCAGATTGAATTGTATTCCTGTTTATTGCAGTTTTTCATAGTTCCTACCAGAACAGGCCATGTGAGTCTAGGACCTTGATGTACTGGTCCATGATTTCGTATTTCCTAAACTGTGCACATAGACAATTGAAAAGGACCTATACTTAGAGACTGCTCTGTATTTTGTAAGCCTGATGCTTATACAGTATTGGGAACTCTTTAAGGAAAATAATATAAAATTATAGATACAAAATCAGCTGTAAAAATGAATACTGATTTAAATTAGGAAATATTGATGAATTACAATTTATAAATATTAGGTTACACAGTGCCAAGACATCTAGAGAATACATTTATATTAAATTAGAGTTTGACATGCTTTTATAAAACTTTCTCCAAAATTCTAGCTCTCTAGTCTTTGACTGCCTCTCCTTATGACAATGATTTTTATATTATTACTGTCTATATAGAGAATATAACATTAATTAATCAAGTCATAACAAACCAATGTATTTATCACTGAAACCAAACTAAATCCATCCCCAGCTCAACTGACCCTCAGTTATATCCCCAAAATGGCCACAGTCACTTCAGCATCATCCGACACAACAGGAAATATGATGGAGGGGAAGCCAGGAAAAAAAAAAGTTAGTAGTCTTCAGCAAAAGTAGTTGAAATGCATGATTTTTGCTAAGTCCGCACAAACACGAGTGTCTCAGTTAGCCTAAGCGATCAAAATACCACAGACGGAGTTGTTTCAGCAACAGAAAGTCATTTTCTAACAGTTCCGGAGGCCGGGAGTCAGATCTGGGTGCCAGCATCGTGAGTTTTTGTTGAGAGCTCTCTTTCTGACTTGCAGTTGGCCACCATCACCTTGCGTCTTCACAGTAAGTAGCAGAGGAAGAGCTCTCTGGTACCCCTTGTTATAAAGACACTGCTCCCGTCAGAATCAGAGCCTCATCCCCAAAGTCAGTCATAATGGGGGTTAGAGCTTCAACCTAAATCTGGGGGGATACAGCTGAGCGAGCAATGTGTTTGTATGATTGTGTAGCCAAGGTCCCTCCCGGGAACTTGGAAGGGGTCTGTGCAAGTGAGGATCGTGAAGCTTAAGCTCCTGCAGTTTCTTGGTGTAACTACCTCTGCGCACACGCCTTAGAGAAAGTCTCTGGGGGGGAAGATGGTCAGCACGAGAGGAGAGGTCAGGGCGCTTTCAGACCGCACCTGCCGCAGGGAGCCGGGGACGCTGACTGAGATGAGCTGAGCTGTCACCGTACTGAGTTAACGTAGTTACTGAAACAAACCAGAATGAGCTAGCAGGTAGATGCTATTGTAACCCCAACTCATATCCCACCTCCAAAACTGCCTTTGGAGACCCCAGATAGCTGGGGTCATGCAGGCATCTACTAGTCTAAGGAGACAGCACATAGGTGTGAGTGGTTCTTTTCCATCAGATTATATCTGAACTATTTAAACACTAGGATGTTTATCAATATACATTAATAATATGTGCATATGTGTTTACATATATAATAACAGACGAATAAGTGAGAAAATCACTATTAGACACTGGTAGTGTACCATATGAACAAGCAATTGACGTGTAGGTAATAAAATGAGGTGATACCAAATTTTTACTATGTACAAGGCACTCTTCTAGGCATTTAACATGAATTAACTCATTTGATCCTCTCAATAATCCTATGAGGCAGGCATTACTCTCCATTTCTTCTAAAGTTAAGGCCACTGAGGGAGAGAGAAATGATGTTACTTATCTGAGACCACCCAGATGGATAGTGGAAGAACTGAGATTTGAACTTCAGCCGTCTTCTTCCAACCTGTGAAATATACTGTAACATTACTTTGATGATTTTAAGCATATTTCTATCAATAAAAAGCATGATTATAGGATAATGTACTCTAAGGTCTTAAGGTCTTATACCTTGGAGTGCATTATCCTGTAATGATTGTTTAGAATCCCATCCAAGCCTCTTTACCTGTGTTCACAAACCCTCACTTTTTCCCTACAGGAGAGAAACCACCAGCTCTAGCCCTGAACTTCAGTACTTAGAGGATCATGGGTGAACTAAAACATTTCCCCTACTCCCTCTTTCTAGACATTTTGGAAAAGATGAAACACCACTATTTATGTCTGTCTGTCCCTCACTCTTTCCAAATAGTGCTTATTTATTCTGATCTGATTAATTTATGTTAGTTACAAAAATAGGATAAAGTTTTCCTTGTCCAATTATAAGATTTATAACAAGAAAATGAAACATAGAAATAAATTACAGTCCCCTCATTATGTTTTAGGGGAATTATCAGAGCCTCATCTCTCTAATTATTTCAGGATCTTTGGGAATTTTTGAATTTATGTTTCTTTTTATGTATGGAAATATTAGTATCTGCCCTATCTCACAGTCCAGGTGCTGATATATGACGAATATGATTTAGAGTCTAAAATATATCACTCCAAATTAATAAGAATTCAATACTGAATACTTGAAAAATTACTTTGTGGACTTACATGCTGTATTTTATGTCAGCTAAAACATTTTCCCCTACTCCCTCTTCCTAGACATTTTGGAAAAGATGAAACACTACAATTAATGTCTACTGGTTTGTCTCTTGTTCTTTCGAAATAGTGCTTATTTATTCTGATCTGATTAATCTATGTGTTCATTATAAAAATAAGATAAAGTTCTCCTTTTTTCTCTATCATGTAATAATTTATCATGCAATGCATTCTTCTTTATGGAAATCTATCAAGATTTTCTAAAAGTCAAGTATATTTTGTATATTCTTTTCTCATACAATTACATATTCCCTTGTATAATTTCAAGAGCTTAGAAAGCATTGTTTTCCAACATAGAAATGAGCTTAAAATATGCGAGGGAAGAAAGCTAGCAAGTTGATGCATTTGCTTTTGTGTGAAGCAATGTAAAAAAAGATTTAAATTTTGATTTAAAAATTGCTAAATTAAAACTTCTGATATTTCTTGTTTATTAGTGAAGAAACTTCTTTCACAGTTATTTAGCATAAATAATAGGTTTCTGCATCTAGAAAAGGAAAATGAATACTTTTAACCTCACCTATAAATTGAGAAGTTAAGTATTAAATGGTAATTTTTCTTCTTTTGTAGAGAGAAAAAATGCATAGGATTTATTGCAGTCATTAACTAATGCATTAAAATTACATTAGGGAACTTAGTTTTACTTCATCCAAAGTCTGAAACACTTCAGATTTTAGACAGCAGAAACCTCCCTCAAGACATGTTTAAACTAAACATTCATATCATCACAGACTCAGCAATATGATTTTTAAAAATTATTCAAAAAAGGGCAAGCAGAATAGCAGGAAAATTAAAAACAGGAAAACAAGAGTGAGCTGAGGCAACAGAAACAGAAATGGAGCTGATAGTATTTTTAAAATTATCTAATTCAATAACGCTGAACATGTGTGCCAGACTATTAAAAAAGGGTTCTAATAGCAAGCCAAGTACCTTAGAATTACAGACGCAGAGTACTTTTTATGCTGAGTTATTTCCTTAAAAGTTTATGCTAAAACCCTCTTTCAGAAATCTAATCCTCACGTTGCCTTGGTCGATACAGTCTCACAAAAATATTCTGGCTTCAGAATAAAATAAACATGATTGGGAAAAGGGAGTTTTAGCAAAAGTAGATGTTTAAAATCAGAATAACTGTTCTATACGGCACTAATAGGCATGTTTAAGTTAATAGTTCTCTCGCAGGGCCGTGCAGAACATCACTGTTCTGTGCTAACGGAGGCAGTGCTGCCCCGCCCTCACATGGCCAATGGGCAGCCCCAGGTCTGCCCCTTTGGACCCCAGGACACCAGCTCCCCCTGGGCTGAGCTCCCGGTGTGCCAGACAAACCCAAAGCAGAAGTAGCCCACTTTCTGGTGGTTATCTTTTGATTAATGGTAACTTGTTTGGCTATTTAGACAACAAAAAGAAAAGAAAACATTAAAATAGTTAAATGACTTTAAAATGGAAAACAAACAAAACTCTAGGAAAATTAGCATCAAGAGAAAAATGTGTTGTGATCTAGGCATAGCTCTTTCAAGCATCAGGCAAATCTAAATACTTCAGAAGACATAGGAAATACGGCCAATAAATTCCTCATGGTAGGTTGATTGTAAGAGATCAATTACCAAATGTGAGTTACATCTCCGCAGACATGCTGGAATGGCCTGGGACGGCTCTGCTTCTGGTAGCATTTCCGTCTCCGTGGGAACTCTCTGCATCAGGAGCCTTAGGGGTGGAGAAGGGGAGAAGGGTGCAGGATGCAAGAGAAGAAAAATTGTAACGCTTGCCTAGGAAATGAAGGCACGAACAAAAGCAACGGGTGCAGTTTCTTTGGAAAATAGGCTTCAGAAAGATTATTTTTGTAATTTCTGAAAATATGACATTGTATCTTAATTTATTCCAGCATTTGCAGCACTTTTCCCCCAAAGTGATCAAAACCTATTTAAAAATTTATTTTAAAATATTTTAAAATTATTTTTAAGAAGTCACAAAACCTCTGGCAACACAGAAATACATCTCTTCCCTCTCTGCATTCCTGCTCTTCCACAAAAGTAGCCTCAATGAATGGTTTTGCCTGTCCTCTTTCTCTACATATTCACACACACACAAATATAGAAAGGATTGCTGCGGATAATGCATCTTTGCACATGAATATAGAATTACTTTCAATGAAATCATATATACACCGTCTAGTGAGCTGTACATTTCTGTAAATCTAGAGCTATTTCACACTTTCATGAACTTTCACTGTATTTCAAAATGTGCATACCCTGTAATTCATTAGTCATTATCCTAC